CCAACAGTTCCGTGTCCCTCTTATGTTGGGGACATCAGAACTGTATGCAGTACTCCAGGTGGGGTCTCAACAGAGCAGAGTGGGGGGGAGAATCACCTCCTTCGACCCACTGGCCACGTTCCTTTGGATGCAGCCCAGGATTTGGTTGGCTTTCTGGAGCACACACTGCTGGCTCATGTTGAGTTTTTCATCAACCATCATCCCCAAGTCTTTCTCCACAGGGCTGCTCTCAATCACTTCTCCGGCCAACCTGTAGATGTGGGGAATCTCAGCTGAACCGGGACTCCTGGTATGGAACAAGTAACTGGCTGAGAATGGAGGCTCTGGTCCTGACAATGTACTAATGCATCCTGAGAGAGCAGAGGAGCAGCAGAAGAGCTGTCCCGTGGGAACAGGGAACACTGTCTCATGAGAACGAGGACTTGTTTTGAACAGAGTGACTGAGAAAAATATAAACATCAAAGGAAAACAGGGACAGGTGCACAGAAATGTTGTGAGAAAGTAGGACTGAGAAAGTCCAGAGAAAGTCCAGCTAAAATCTACCTATTAGCTGTGAGAATTGTAGTTTGTGTATGTAAGCTGACCTATCTGTGTGTTATATGTGTACAAAAAGAGCTGTATTTAAGAGGCTGTAAAGTGAAGCTCGTGGCTGCTGCTGCTTCATTTTTCTTTCCAATAAACTTTCTTGCTGAATATTACATGTCCGTCCCAACAATGACATTTGGTGACCCCAACGTGATGCTGCGTCTTCGTGAATATCGGACAGCAGTGAAGCCGATAAGGGCGGCAGGGAGGTTTGCTGCGGGGACGGAGCTCGGTGTAGCACGAGAGCAGTGGAGAAGCTGCCAGGCCGGCCAGACAAGACACCTGGACAGGTGAGCCACCGAGAACAAGTCTATCCTGCTTAAAAAAGAGAAAAATTAGACGAACTGGCTTTGCAACAGATGTTGCTTTCGTGTAAGGGCTAGGGATTTGAAGTGAACGCTGTAACTGCCTTTAATATCTCTACTTGGAAAGAACGTAGTGATAAGCTCTTTACTGCTGCCTCTAAGGGAGAAAAAGTTTCTGCTTCCCTCCTTACAACTTGGCGATTGTTATCTGGAACAGTAAAAGACATTAAAGCACAGTCTGAGGACATTAGAATGCTATTAGATACCATCATAGGGAGAAATCGTGCAAAAAGGGAGTCGAGCGGAGTTGAAGGGAGCCGGAGCGGGACCAGAGATCACGGAGCGGGGCCGGGGACAACCGAGCGACCCTGCCAAAATGAACGCGGTGCTAGTGTCTTGGCAGTGCATATCCAGGACGATCGGAGACGGAGGCTGTGGCGTGAAAGTACTGCTGATGGACCGGGGATGAACTTTACGAACACTGTGACTGAGTTCCACCTTAAGACATTTCCAGATTTTCATCTGAACTGTGCTGCGGGACTGCGCCGTGCGTTTGTGGCTGTGTTCACGGCGCTGGGTGCTTGCGCCGCCGTGCTGAGTGAACCCGTGTCGGCGCCGGGTCTGTCCACCTGTGGCGGGTGCCTATGGGGCGGTGCCAGGCGGCCCCGGCCCAGCAGGCGGCGGGGGGGGGGGAAGTTGTTTGTCTTTTTTCCTCGTTACTCTAATCACCCCCTCTCTGAAACGTGCCTGTTTGCAGCTGTTTTCTCCCTCTCCTATGTTTTGTCTTTTCTTAAGGAGACTCTGTGATTAAGTTACTAGTTCCTTCTGTTGATTCTCTCTGGGTGAGCCCGGCCCCTCCTCCCCCTCCTTCGTCCTTCGGCAATGAGGGGCGGGGGGGGCAAAAGACAGAAAAAAGGGAAAAGGGAAAACCAGCTTAAAATTAACAATATCCCAACTTATAAATCAAATAAGATTGCATTGTTTTTACAGCAATAGGTGTTATGCATGCAGCGTGTTCATAGCATTCTCAAACGTTTTCTCCAAAAACAGAAAGAGAGACTGACGGAAAATCCCTTGAAGCAAGATTAGAAATAAGGCAACATCCGTGCTTAGCTTTTTGCATATTGCAGAAGGTTGTTAGGAATCTCCTATAGTTTGCCATTTCGCTTCTCTTACATGAAATTTGGCTGTTTCCCCCCGGGGGCAGGGTGCAGGTAGAAGGTTTGCAGACAGAACGATTAGACGAAGTGGGGTAGTTTTGCCCCCTGCAAAAGTAGTTTTATTGCCTTTATGACAGAATATCATTGCTCTATGAGAAGGGTTAAAGATTTCCAAGATAATATTCTGTTCTTTCTTGCTGTATTTGTCTTTTACATGAAGAGTTATGCAGGATTTGCAGATTGCTGATGGTGGCTATGCCATAAATTTCCTTTGAATTATGAAAATGATAAGAAGTGCACAGACAATGACTACTTGAAAATGTGTGTGTGAATGATGGATGACTGAGATGACCACCTAAGAGTGTATGAAAAAAGATTGTGTGAAAGAGAAAAACTACATGAATGTGTAACTGTGTAAACTTAAAAATACTTTCCGTCGGTGTCAAGACTTTAAGAAGGTGATAGGACTGAGGTTAAATAAGAAATTCTTACAAAAATTTGGTATTCTATTACAGCCTTGTATGAAGATTGTGAAATTTGAATCTCAGGTGAAGTTTTTCCACTAATATTGTTCCTTAGCTGTGTGAGCTGCGCAGGAGACCACTAGTTTTGGAGCGAGTAAAAACCATAAGCCAGCAAACATTAATGCAGACTGCAGGGTTAGCAGAGCCCGGAGCAAGGTGCACCACTATGTGTCCAGGTGCCCGGGAACCATTACAATTCGTGGAAAAGCTGCAAGTTGCTGTAGAGAAACAGGTTTTGTGACATTCAGTTACAGAAGCTGCTAGTTACATAAGTAGCTAGAGATAATGCCAATACAGACTGTCAAAAGGTACTATCCTTGGTGTGGTGATGCAGGCTTGTGCCGGGGTGGGGTCCTTAGACCATCAAATAATTACATTTGCATCTGCTATGGCAGTAGTGAGGGTCGTTTTGACCTTTTCTGTGTTTTCCAGGATTTAAATCAGGAGTTGTTGATGTTGCTGCCTGGCTTGTTCAGCCTGTTGCAGGGGGGGCCTTACAGACTGTCAAGGCCATCCTGCATGCCTTTTCAAGGGCATCTGGAGCGTTGTGGATAGTGTATCTTCAGGCCTCCTGGCTGGAGGCCAGAGCAGACCAGTTATGTTGATCAGTGTGACCAGAGCTGAAGTGTTGTTTTAAAGAGTCCTTATATATTGTCTTCAAACCCCTCCCGTGCAACAGCTGGTAGCAATATTCATTGTAAAACGGCTAGTCTCTCCTCCTTAAAACATGCCCTACCCATTGCAGCTGTGTTCTCAGCAAAATAGCCTCACTAATTGTGATTACTCCTTGTTTCCTACTAGACCTATTGCTTGCATAATTTGACTAGTGAATGTTTAGGGTTGTATGAAGGCAACCTGTACTCTTTGTGATGCTCAAAGCTTACTGTTAATTGTCCAAACAAACAAACTTCTGTAGTCATTCTGTAGTCATTCCAAGGGTTAGGGTTGTGATGCTGATTACATTGAACCATCTCAGAATCCTTTAATTACCCCTGTCTTTGTGATAAAGAAAAAATCTGTGAACTGAAAACTGTTGCATGATCTCAGACGGCTTGGTGCAGTCATGGTTAGTAAGCATTGGCTTACTGACCCCTTCTATGCGTCCTACTGAATAGCCCATTGTTATTATTGATTTGACAGGTTATTTTTTCACAATCCAGTTAGACCCCAGTGATAGAGAAAAAATTTGCATTTTCAGTTCCATCTATTATTCGTGCAGAACCTTACGAGTGTTATCCATAGAAAACCTTCTCCCCTGGAATGAAAAGCTTTTCTATAATTTGTCAGTGGTTTGTGATTCCAATGTTATCTCCTGTACTAATGCAATTTTCTGACTGTCTTTTGTTGTCATTATATAGATCATATTTCTGCTGGCTGTAGCCACTGAGGATCAGCTGGGTGTGCTGGATGCTGAAACCAAAAAGAGTCTACAATTCTTTGGCCTAGTAGTTGCTCCTGACATGGTGCAGTGAGATACCCTGGAAATATTTAGGGTTCACGTACACAAAAAGCAGTCATTCCTCAACCAGTTCAATTTGATATTAATGTTAAAACTCTTACTGACATACAGTAGCTATTAAGATCTTTAAATTAGATTGCATCGTACTTGCAATTGCCAAACACCCAGCTGGCACCTCTATTTCACCTGTTCAAACATTCTGACAATTTTCAGGAACTGAGGGAACAGACTGAGAGAACTGACTAACAGAGCAGTTTGGACCATCCAACAAGTAGAGCAAGCTTGACATTCTAAATTTGTTTCACACATTGATCATTGTCAAATTGTCTAATTTTTCATTTTTGCATATCACAGAGTTCCTTTTGTCAAAAACCTGCTCCTGGATTGTTTGAGCTCATAGCTCAAATCACCATTAAGGCTAGAGAAAGATGTGTACAGTGTACTGGCACAGATCCAGTTCACATTGTTGTACCTGTACACTCTCATTACTTTGAGTAGTGTGAAATGCAAACTGCTTTAGCTGAGTTCCATGGCCAAATTCCTTATCATTCATTAGTCCATAGAAGGAGTGCAATGTCTGGATCACCTTAATGAAGGCCTTGAACCAAACCACCTTTTGTGCCTTGCTTGCATCGCTCGAGCAGCTTTTTCATACCTGTCTGGTAGGAATTCTGTTAAATGGTAGTGAGACCAGCCTTATAGTGGCCAGCCTCAGACCCTTGACAAAATTGTTTTGTAAAGTTATGCGGTAAAGTGTAAGCAATTGGGATTTGTTTCAAGAACAACCTTGAATATGAAAAAAAAAAAAAAAAAGCCCCAAGATGGTCTTACAGTCTTGAGAAAGACAGGTAAAGCTGCAGTTGAGCTGTAACCCTTGCTTTTCAGATCAACCTTTGAATGTTATTGCTGATTCTGCATATGTTACAGTGACTTGATCAGGTGGTATTGTATTGTCCATTTCCAAGTCTTATTTTTCAAGCGTTGTTTGTACTCTAAAGAACTCCTTTGCAGAGGCTTGTTTCAGCAGGTTTCCTATGCTTCGATCCAGTGCAGCTTCATAGTTTTTCACCTCTTTTAGAGTTTCGAGAAAGGCACGCTGTGCTTGGCCAGGGACCTCCTCTACACTGATGGTCTTGTGGTCCCTGTGGGAGTTGAGGACAGAGCATAGCATGCAAATGCAGACCTTGTCCTTCTTGCAGTAGCATTCCAGCAATTTGCCGTGCTGGGGGCATTTCCTCTCAGCCAAAACCTGGGCACCACAGGGCTCCACCAGGACGTGGTTTTTCTGGGTGTTCTTTGTGCTGTGCTTGCTCAGGTGGGCTTGGCACAGGGAGGCCTTGCAGGTCAGGCAAGTCTTCATGGCCGGATGGGGCTCCTGACAGGATCACCTCTGCTTGCTGCCCCAAACTTTCCTCCTTCTGTTTGCATTGCACTTTCTGCTTTTCCTCCCCTTGATGAACAGAAGCATCCAAAAAGTTCTCCACTATGTTGCGGAGATGGAAGTTGGGCTTCAGCTCCCCGGTGGGGCCTGTGGGGTAAAGGCAGAGTGGGCACTTGGAAGGGCCCTGCTGGCATTTCTGTTCCTTCTGGATGAACTCCTTGCAGAAGCTCTGACCACACCCCAGGGACACGGGGTTCCTGTAAATGTCCAGGCAGCTGGGACAGGTCAGCTTGTCCTTCAGCCTGGCCGCAGCACCCGCCTCGGCCATGGCACCTGAGCCTCACGACAGGGCTGAGGGCAAGGAGGAGGGCACTGGTAGGAAACTGAGAGCACAGCATGCAGAAGCCTTCAGATGTCGATTTAGCTTAATTCATTCTATTGCTCGCTCGGTTGTTGTCTCTTGTCCAGATTGTCGTCGTGCTTGTACTGTCTATTTTAGTATTAACCCTCGAGATCTTACAGCCTTACAGATTTGGCAATCAGATGATTCAAGTCAATGAAATTGGTAATTTGGAGCATGTCCATGTGTCCATTGGCATGTCTTCCCACATGGTGGTTGTTAATACATGTACTACACGAAAAGGTCATGGTGTCATTGCTGCATTTGAGGTGCCCGCTCAGGTGCAAGCAAACAATGAACTACCTTGTGTCTGTAAATCTGTCCAAGTTTTCTTTGCCTTGTGAAAGGTCACTCATGTTACAGCTATCTCACATTCTCCTACAGGACAGGCTATTATAGGGATGATGTATGGTACCCTGAAGCAATTGCTTCACATAAAAACAGAGGGGGAAATGTGGGGAATCTCGACTGGGCCAGGACCCCTGGTATGGAACGAGAAACTGGTTGAGAATGGAGGCCCTGGTCCTGACAATGTACTGATGCATCCTGAGAGAGCAGAGGAGCAGCAGGAGAAGAGCTGTCCCGTGGGAACAGGGAACACTGTCTCATGAGAACGAGGACTTGTTTTGAACAGAGTGACTGAGAAAAATATAAACATCAAAGGAAAACAGGGACAGGTGCACAGAAATGTTGTGAGAAAGTAGGACTGAGAAAATCCAGAGAAAGTCCAGCTAAAATCTACCTATTAGCTGTGAGAATTGTAGTTTGTGTATGTAAGCTGACCTATCTGTGTGTTATATGTGTACAAAAAGAGCTGTATTTAAGAGGCTGTAAAGTGAAGCTCGTGGCTGCTGCTGCTTCATTTTTTCTTTCCAATAAACTTTCTTACTGAATATTGCATGTCGTATTCCGTCCCAACAATGACATGTAGATGTGTCTGAGATTGCCACGACTCAGGTATAGGACCATGCACTTCACTTTGTTGAACTTCATGAGGTTCGTATAGGCCCACCTCTCAAGCATGTCAAGGTCCCTCTGGATGGTATCCCTTCCCTCCAGTGTGTCATCTGCACCACACAGCTTGGTGTCATCAGCAAATTTCCTGAGGGTCCACTTGATCCCACTGACCATATTGCCGACAAAGATGTTAAACAGTATCAACCCCAGTACCAACCCCTAAGGGACACCACTCGTCACTGGTCTCCACATGGACAATGAGCCATTGACCGCAACTCTGTGTGTGGCCATCCAACCAGTTCTTTATCCACCAAGTGGTCCATCCATCAAATCCATGTCTCTACAATTTGGAGACAAGGATGTCGTGCAGGACAGTGTCAAATATTTTGCATAAATCCAGGTAGATGATGTCAGTTCCTCTGCCCCTATCCACCAATGCTGTAGCCCCATCATAAAAGGTCATCAAATTTGTCAGGCATGATTTCCCCTTTCTAAGGCCATGTTGGCTGTTACCAGTCATAGCTGTAGGGTTCCTGTAGGGTTGGATTCATAAGTAAATCTATCACATGTACAACACACATTTAGGTACTGTTACAAATGAGGCCAAGAAATTAGGAAAAAAGAATTAAAAGAGCTTTGATTTATTAGCTTCAACTAGCTAGCTGAGTAATGGAATAGTCTATGTTACTCAGAAATCTCTTTATGCTTTAGATAACTATTTGTTAACTAGACACCCTATCAAAACAGATCCTGTTCTAGCCAGACTATTAAACTGAGCTATGAACAGTAAAAATGTACCTAATAGTGAATGCAGTTCATCCCTTCTTCTAGTTCCTCTGCTGTAGTTAGCTATGCATATGTGGTGTGAGTGCCTTGATCCTGGCCACTCAGCTATGCTGGAGGGAAGCAGACCAGCCTAGAGGTCTGAAGTGAAATATTTTGGTCTGTCAGCATTGAACGCTCACATGTATGATATGCACAGCTATTAATAACCCAAGGGAATACTTATTTAGATCCATGACTTTCTGCTTATATTAGTGAGAACAGAATAACTAATCAGGTTTGCAGAGGATTTCTTCCTGGTTCCCATGTGCAAGACTCCAAGCCCCATGAGCTGCTGGCTCACAGGATTGGCTAGGAATTTTACTTTATTATATAGATATAGGGTTCTTTAATGCCTCAAGATAGCATCAAGAGAATAAGTCACGGGCTTGTTCCCAAGGATTTTCTTTATTAATTTAGGGGAGCAAATAAGGGGAGTTGGCCAAAGTTCAAAAGGATGCCACACAAGCTAGACAAAAATGTTCCTCAATACTGACTCAGCATATACTATTAATCCACAACACTTAAGTCAAAATCCAGTAAACCAACAACACAAATCAAGATCCAATGAACCAACAACACTTAAGGCAAAATCCAACCAGTTCCACAACGCTTAAATCAAGATCCAATCCCTCCAGCTCCAAACCACCCTAAGCATCAAGAAAGGAACAGAGAAAGAGAAGCAGAGGGATCAAGAAGACAGAAGGAGAAAGAGGGAGAGACAGATCATATAGCTGCCACTGAAACCTTGTAGAAGACCAACTCTCACAAGTCTAATGGCAGTGCTGCAACACAAGACAAACACATGCCCCTGGTTTTATTTGCTCTGGTCCCTGTAGCCAACCCATCAGGCAGGGGCTCTGACCCACCAGCCACTCTGGGGGTTCCAGGTCAGGGTGAGGGGCAGTGTTCTCACTGTCCCTGCCAATCTGAACCTGGCTTAGGGGCTCCAGAAGATGTAGTGTGTTATAGTTTTTCCAGGCTGTTTGTGACTGACAGCTACTCTGGGACTTCCCCATGTGGGTTCCAGGGGCCTGCCACAAGGGATAAGACGCTACCCCATCTCCATGAGGTTTGACCCATCCCTTCCCCCTTCACAAACACACACACACACTCTCCACAAGGTGGTTCTGACCCAATAATAACTGATCTGGTGTCTAACACTGTGTGAAGTTTTGAACAAGGAATCAAATCCTTCTTTGGCCAAACAATTTTCTGCATACAGTTTGAAAAGTGCTGGCAGTTACCATTTGGATATATTCCTATCTCCTTTCTATCCTCAGCTGAGGACAACTTCCTGACAGCTTTTCAGTAACACCTCAGCTTACTCTAAGGTAAGCATTCTGATAAAAATTACAAGTAAAAATCAAAGGTCTAAGTTACTATGCTCCTACACCTTGGGCAGTTTGTAACAACTCTGTCCAGCATGAATGTAAAACATGAGCAGGCCATGTTTCTTTGCTCTTGTACTCCTATGCAGTCTTCTTTCCACAGGGTTACATGAGAAAACTGATGAACTATTTTAATTTTCTAGCCAAAGGCAACTGGAGTGTGAGCTGTTCTGGCCATGGTCTCACATCTTTGGAATGTTCCATATTCCCACATATGGGACTAAGTTGGTGGGTAAGAGTCAGGCATATCATCTTTATGCCACTCAAGGATTGCTTCGATTCTAGGCAAACACAGCTAACCCAGTTTCTGGCTCTTTGGACTGCCATATTGGCATCAATAGAATGGAGCATGTATGGCTTCAGGTCAAAAAAAATGCAAATTGTCATTCAGGTCAATGGTGCAAATACTAATTATCTTCAAGGGTCCTGTCTGCCTAGCAGAACCAGCAGAACCAGGTGTAGCAGTGTGAAAGTAAAGTAAAATAACTTGTCTGAGACAAGAATTCTTATATGAATAAAAGTATCAGGAAAAGCATTAAGAATATAGCCTCAATTTGCTGTTCAGTTATGGGGCAGTCTTGCCAAGATATCAGACAGAAACCTGGCAAGTTCTAGCCCTGCAGAAAGCAGTGACTACAGTGAATGTAGCATTGCATGCCTGTCAGATCAGCTAAATTCTGTCCTATTGTGTGGTAGATGCAGTCTTACACAGCATTTAATATTACATACTGTCTCTTTGCCTCTGTATTGCTCACTGTATAGAATGAACACACAAGTAGACAGATTTAAGGATGCCTGGTTAAATTTCTTAACTGCTAAGAATTAAACTTTGCAAATTAAGCATTCAAATAAAGTCAAGACTTCAGAGTAGTGCTAGAGGGGAGGCAAGGGGAAGGTAGTGTTTAGTTATCTTTTAAGTTTTACATTTGTTAAACTTTTACTTTGTTAAACCTTCTGTCCTGGTTTTGTCTGGGACAGAGTTAATTTTCTTAGTAGCTGCTACAGTGCTGTGTTTTGGACTTAGTAAAATGTTGATAACACATTGATGTTTTGATTGTTGCTAAATAGTGCTTACTCTAAGTCAAAGACTTTTCATGCTTTGCCAGCAAGCAGATGTACAGGAAGCTAGGAGGGAGCATGGCTGGAATAGCTGACCGGAACTAGCCAAAGGGATATTCCATACCATAGAATGTCATGCTCAGTATATAAACTGGGAGAGTGGACTGGGAGCTGCTGATCATTGCTCGGAGACTGGCTGGGCATCGTTCAGCAGATGGCGAGCAATTGTATTGTGCATCACTTTTTCTTGGGTTTTATTTCTCTCTCTTTCTCTCCTTTTTATTACTATTATATTTTACTTTGTTGCAATTATTAAACTGTTCTTGTCTCAACCCACAAATTTTACATTTTTTGGGTTTTTTTCTCCTCCCCCTCCCACGGGGGGGGGGGGGGGAAGGGGCAAGTGAACTAGCGGCAGTGTGGTACTTAGTTGCTGGTTGGGGTTAAACCAAGACACATTCTAAGTTCATCTTTTCTCCACTGTCCTGTTTCTTGAAATTTGTAAATCTGTTTACATCGTATGCCATATTACATTATCTTTTTTAAATATGAGCTGATCTGGCTATATTAAATGAAAAACTTCAGTCCAGTCCTTTTATTTTGGCAGTAAAATAAGAATGAAATGTTGCACAATTGGAAATGGAATTAGCCTCGACAGTTCACGTAAAGAAAATACTTCCTTGTTAAGTAACAAATACAGGTGTGTGGTGGTTTGGGCGCTGATTTGCTTATTTGTTTTTTATATAAATCTTTAATAAATTTTTGTTACTATATTTGAACCTAGTGTTAATTTACTTATAACACCCTCTACCCATAAACTGTACCTTGTTCGCCTGCTAGGTGACACATTTCACCTTTGATTACCTGGCGAGGGAGGTTTTTGGA